AGATGGTGAGAACAAGAGGTGATAAAATAGAGGAATCTTCTACTGCCAGAATGGACAGAATGGAAAGACTGATCCAGGAAATGGCAGAGACATTGAGACAACAGCAAAAGTGGCAACAACAGTGGCAGCAGCCACATCCTCCACCTCCACCTCCGGCACCTCCTATGCCAGATAATCAGAATGATGATTGAACCATAGCTCTCACCAAAGAGTTCAAGAAAATGAAACCACCACAGTTCCATGGTGGATTAGATCTATTGAAAGCTGAAGCTTGGGTCCTCATCATCGAAAAACTATTTGAAGTGTTCCCGTGTTCGGAGATACAGAAAGTGCTTCTAGGCACCTTTATGCTAGAAGACGAAGCAATAAGATGGTGGATGTTAATGCGTGAGAGTTACAAAGATGCTGATTGGGCAAAATTTCTGGAAATTTTCTACGACAAGTACTTCCCGCAGTGTGTCCGGGATAGGAAAGTGGTAGAATTTATGGAACTGAGGCAAGATAGTATGACTGTAGCCGAGTATGACGCCAAGTTCACTGAATTGGCCAGGTTTGCGCCACACGTGATCGATACAGACTATAAGAAGGCGAGACACTTTAAAGGTGGGCTTCGAAGTGACATATTAGAAATGGTGAATGTCTTGAAGCTAGAAACCTACATCGGGGTGCTAGACAGGGCCATAATATCAGAGGCTAACATAGCCAGACAGGCTAAGCCAACAACAGAATGGAAAGGAAACAAAAGGCAAGGCTTCTTTTCGAAGAAGAAATTTTTGAAAAAGCAGAATACTAGCTCCTCAAATACTTCGAATTCTTCCCGAGACACATCTTCCATGTGCAATATTTGCAGCAAAAGGCACCGTGGAGTTTGTTACCGTGTGTCAGGAGCCTGTTTCAAATGTGGGGAATAAGGGCATATGGCCCGAGATTGCAAACAAAACAGTGGAAAATTTGCTGCTAGTTCGACAGCGTCAGCCCCAAAACCAGGAAGTGCTACGAGATCTACTCCCGCCAGAGATACCGTGAGACAGGGGAGAGTTTTTGCGCTTGTTCCGGGCGATACACAGAATGCCAACGGAGTTGTCTCTGATACTATTTCTATATGTAATCAGGATGCTTTTATGTTAATTGACTCCGGATCCACACACTCTTTTGTGACATGTGCATTTGTATCTAGACTGAATAGACCTTTAGAACTACTGCCATACCTGCTATGTGTATCTGCTCCATCTAGGGAATCTGTATTGTGTGAATCTATATACCGGTTTTGCGATATGCGTGTTGAGGATGCTATCCTATATGTAGGTTTGCTGCCCTTGAACTTTAGTCATTTCGATGTAATTTTGGGCATGGATTGGTTGACCAAATATTGTGCCACCATTGATTGTGTGATGAAACGGGTTATGTTTAAACCACCAGAACATAAGGAGATTGTGTTTGTGGGTAATGGGGTAGTGCCTCCACGTTATTTGATATCTGCAATGAAAGCATGTAAACTGATCAGGAAAGGGTGCCAGGGTTATTTGTGCTATGCACTGTCTGAACAATCTGTGAATGTTAAGTTGAATGATATCCCTATTGTTAGAGAATTTCCAGATGTGTTTCCAAATGAATTACTAGGGAATTGGTAGACAGGGAAATAGAGTTTACAATTGAGACTATGCCAGGCACCCAGCCCATTTCTAAAACTCCCTACAGAATGGCTACTGCTGAAATGAAAGAATTGAAAGAACAGTTGCAAGACCTGTTGGACAAGGGGTTTATTCGACCTAGCACCTCACCTTGGGGTGCACCAGTATTATTTGTGAAAAAGAAGGATGGAACTTTGCGTTTGTGCATCGATTATCGGGAATTGAACAAGGTAACAATAAAGAACAAATATCCCCCACCCCGTATTGAGGACTTATTTGACCAGTTGCAGGGATCACAGGTGTTTTCTAAGATTGATTTGAGGTCCGGGTATCATCAGCTGAAAGTTACGGCAGAGGATGTCGAGAAAACCGCATTCAGAACGAGGTATGGACATTTTGAGTTTCTTGTTATGCCATTTGGAGTGACTAATGCTCCGGCAGCATTTATGGACCTAATGAACCGTTCTTTTAAGACCTACCTTGACGAATTTGTTGTAGTCTCACTACTACAAAAACAGATAAAGATCACACTTTTTTTGTGTGATGTTTGTTATTTAATCACAGCTTTTAAGTTTTATTAAAGTGTGATCTTTGAGAGTGTGATTAAAAGGGGTCATTTTTAATCACACCTTTTAAGTGTGATTAATAACATTTAGATCACATCTTTTAAGTGTGATTAATAACATTTAGATCACATCTTTTAAGTGTGATTAATAACATTTAGATCACATCTTTTAAGTGTGATTAATAACATTTAGATCACATCTTTTAAGTGTGATTAATAACATTTAGATCACATCTTTTAAGTGTGATTAATAACATTTAGATCACATCTTTTAAGTGTGATTAATAACATTTAGATCACATCTTTTAAGTGTGATTAATAACATTTAGATCACATCTTTTAAGTGTGATTAATAACATTTAGATCACATCTTTTAAGTGTGATTAATAACATTTAGATCACATCTTTTAAGTGTGATTAATAACATTTAGATCACATCTTTTAAGTGTGATTAATAACATTTAGATCACATCTTTTAAGTGTGATTAATAACATTTAGATCACATCTTTTAAGTGTGATTAATAACATTTAGATCACATCTTTTAAGTGTGATTAATAACATTTAGATCACATCTTTTAAGTGTGATTAAAAGTCCTTGAATTCTTTGACCATATTTTGCATCTCTCCAAGAAATTTCTAACCTGAAAAATAAAAACACAAATTAATTCAAAAACCACTAGAATCATATGAATAAACTAACTATTTGTAGAGATTGTTCTAGTCTTACAAAAGATAAAGTCCCACTAATCACACCCCTTCAAACGTCTTAACATTAAATACCTCTACCATGACATGAAGCATGTAAAAACAAAATGTCACTTTACCCATAGAAATTGCAAGTTCAACAGAAATTTTACTATAACCAACAACTTAATTTAAGAGGCTCTATCCATCTCAAATATTTAATGTTCTACAAAAGAAATACAATTGAATGTTGATTGTGAAAATAATTTGAGTACATTTCAAATATCTGTGGTGTGTTGAATGTCCGTGTCCCATACAAAAACACTTAACAATTAGGCAACCCTAGCCTGCAGCCCTTCATAAATATGCCAAAATTTTGAAAATGCATTCTTTCACTAAAATTTATCATTCAATGAACATGAGTTACCTGTACTGGTAAGAAGAATAAAAAGCAGTACAAGGTTCAGGTTTTTTTTCCTAGAACAACACTAAATTCCCCTGTTATAAACAAATATCACCATTAGCCAATCAAATCGACAAATCGAAAATTGAGAACAACACAGACCAAATAAGGGTATAGTTTCAAAATTAAAACAAGTTATTTTGATAAACCAAAGTCATCAATGAGTCTCTTTTTAGGCTTTAGAACAAATAATTGGAGTGCTATAAATTTTCAAACTGTCTTCTGCACCCAAGAAAATGGGAAAAAATATAAAAATAAAAATCATTAAACAACACACAATAAAATCATCAAAACTAAAGAGCTTGAACTGCTAATCTATAAGAAAGTTACAATTTTCATGCATTTGAATCACATTTTGTGTAGATCAAGCATTCATGAGCAATAAAGATTCTATAAAAATGAAGAAATTACAGAGACGAAACATCTCTATTGACATATCAAAAAAGCTCCATGAAATTTTTATATATTCAATAATCGCAACATTTAGTTCAAAAACAAAAACAAAAACAAAAGGAAATGAAAAAAATAAAAATAAAAATAAAAATAAAGCATTTGAAAGCAAATAATCAAACATATGCAACCTGTATAGCTAATATCTCGAAGTTAAAAAGGAAAAATAAAACTGGGTACTTTCAATATATATATATATACAGTGACGAAGAAGAAGATTGGAAGTTGTGTGGTGAGACTAAAGTCGAACAGAGCACTACAGTCATCAGTTGCTCTAATAATTTTAACAGAAAATTGAACAACCCAAACACATAAAACTGCCAATAGTTCAACCCAAAAAAGCAAAATAACATAAGCTCTTCTTGTTGTCCTCAAGAAATAGCTAATTCTCACCTCTTGAACTACCCGAAAAGCTTCCTAGTATAAAACACTAACAACAACAATCTCCCAATCTCAATGAACAAATCATATCAATTCAACCAGGCATGCTGCCAAGAGTGAAAGTATGTTCCATTTTGTAAAGAGCAAAACTATGCTCCTGAGTCTTGACAATGCTTAAAAAAATGACAGCATAAAACAATGCTCCTGAGTCTTGACATACTTAAAAAAATGGCAGCATATAATCATGCACTCTACATAGCAAACCGCAATAACAAACATTGAATTGTAAACCAACACAATATTTTACAAAAGGAGCAAGTTTTTGCAACAGAAGGTATATAACTCCTCTGTGAAATGACATAATTCAGCACAGGGATTCTACTTTGATACTTAATAATCATTGTCCATTTGACTGTTAATTAGATATTAAAAGAAATACATATGAATAAATACAGCTTGCATCTTGGATTGAGTCTAACATTTGATAAGCATCTAACTAGACTGAGTTCGATGTTGTCAATACTTTAGAGGTGCTAAAATTTTGTTCTAAATTAAATATGCCCACTTAAAAGTCATAAAACTTTATAACATAAAAATAAATAAGCAGTAAGCAGTAAAAGACCTGAGTGGCAGGTTTTTAACTCATACCTCTGCAGTCGTCGCAACGGTTGCAAACCTCATCCTCCCATTATCAGGATCCCTGTGAACCTGAACAAAATTTTACAAATAATGCTACTTTGAGATAAAAGGCTAGTGAAACAAATCCTAGGCACAGAGAAAATAACTATGAGCTGTCAATGACTTCACAAACCACGCCGATGGTATAAGGAGTATCAACTTAGCACAAAGCTCTTTCAATAGCAGCTATAAAGTTAGGTTGTATAACTCTTAGAGGAAGGGTAGCCTCTGGAAACAGAACAACTCCTGGAAAAAAAATTATAAAATATATATATATATACATATTAACAAAAAAAAAAGAAAAGGAATTAAAGTAATGAAGATAAGACTGAGACAAAAGAAGCCACTTAAATTGTTCCTAAGCCATGCGCATATGACACTAGGTCAATAAGCTACACCAAGACCTGTAAATCACTGTCCCTCAGCTCTATGGCATTTCATGCTACTTGGTTAAGTTAAATCTTGAATTCATGAACTCGTAGGGCCATACATAAGTCACAAACCTCTGGCTCTTTCAAATGATTAGATGCAGAGCTATGGCTCTTTCAAATGTCAAAAGATCAAATAATGATGAGTGGTTCCTTAATTCTTGGAGGCTTCCAAGAATTATCCTCACATATTGAGGTGTTTCTATGTTGTGTGGGTTGAGTGGCTGTGAGTATATATTGAGTGGTTCATTGTTTAGGGTTGTGAGTTCTCTAAACTAAGGGTCGAGTGATGAGAGTTCATATGGAGTGTTTTATTTCTATTAATGTCTGTTCTTTTGTAGGATTTGTTGGATGTGAAGAATTTAGGTTCCCTAAAAATGCGGGTTGAGTGTTATGAGACCATATATATGTGGGTTTTTACTAACACTTTTGTCTATATTAAGTGGAATCTGTTTTGCAGGTGCAAGGAGATACAGAGCATGAGTATTGTGAGGTTACTAAATGTGGGTTGAGTGGTGTGAGTAAAAAATTGTGTGGAGCCTTCCCCTTTACCTGTTTATTGATGAGTGAGCTCAACTAATTCCTCTCTAATCAGTTATATTATATCAAAGATAAGAGACCACTATCATGCCATCAACTAATTCCTCTCTAATCTTGTTCCTTCTTCCTATTTATTTTGTTAAATACGTACTTGTGCATTACTCTCAGATGCAAGGACATACAAATGATTTCAAATAAAAGTAAGGAATTGATATTAATGGAGAGTACTCACCTCCGAATTTCAGCAAGATCACCAGTGAGCTCATAACTGAGAGAGTAATAGAAGTAGAGTCTCGCAGCCAGAACATCAATGGTTTGCCTATTTAAGTTTTTCAAACGGGTAATACTTGCTGAGGAACAAATTTAGCTTAGAGAGCAGCAGCAATAAGCAATAATGTGATTTAACAAACATTATCAATCGAGTAAAGAATAACACAACACTTGACGTAAGCATAATTTGCCAGCTTTTCCAATATTCTTACAATATACCAGCATTAACAAGACCACTCTTTGTAGAACTGTAGAAAGGAATACAGCCGACAACCAATATATATAAGCTTCTGGTGCCTTGAGCTGAATTTGCCATATCTAATTGTTTTTTTTTTTTTTTTATGAATAAGTCATAAATTAAACAACAAAAAAACTACAAGGGGTATACCCCAAGAGGTAACCAATTATACAGGGACACAGCAACCAACAAAAAAAAAGAAAAAGAAAAAACAAGAACACACTAGAAAAAGAACCATCATGTTCAAACAACACATAAGCAAGAAGCAAATGAGGGGCAAGAACAAGGCAAACAAAAAGCCTTAGAACAACATAACCTGGGCACAACTTAACCACTAAAAAGATCCAAAATAACAAAAACTAGAACAAAACCCAAAAAAGGCAACAACAAAGAACACAGCAACACCAGCAGGAACCAGCAACCAGGCAACAACAAAGGTAACAGAAAAGAACCAGCATACAAACAGCCAACTCTTCAACACAGTGACATATACAACCAGCAGCAAAAACAAGAGCTTCAACAATCAACAATTGGGACAAGATCCATCAAAATGGATTACTTGCTCCAGGCCATCATTCTGTTAAATGATCCTAAGAGAGCCAAGCAATCAACATATTAATAGGACAATTCAACAATAGGTAACTGCAAGACTCGCATAAAACTGGCTAATATCAATCAACCCACAGACAACACTCAACTCACACCAAGCAGTCAACTACTGAAAGAGAAAAAACTATACAACAATATACGCCTCAATCACTCAACCCTCAAATAAACAATTCCCCTAAAATAGACCTGCTGAAAACCTGCAAATAAACACCAGAAAGTCAAGTCTAGGTTCTCACCAAACTCAACCCATAGAATCACAATAAACCCTCCTCGCTCACAGTCCTAGTATGGGAACAGTTAGCATCTGTCAAATTACATTTTCTATGTTTCATCAACTAGGCATATTCCATACAAGAATTGAGCCCAAATGGCAAGGATCTATTACTGCATCAATACCATAACTTGTCCAAACCAGATTACTTACTGAGATCAATTTTTTTACTACTCAATCCAATTTGCTTATCATCATCCCCTTCCAGTTCGGTCTTCTAATCATCATAACCAAAATTTCTAACCCACTAAGTCAAACTCATCATCTATTAAGGCTATTTTGGGAAGTTACAATTTTAGCCACAAAAAAAAAAAGAAGAGCTTTTCGTAAATACCCAAAAACTACTAAGAGAGTCAATTCCCAAAACAACCATAAATCCTTATTCAAAACTCTTAATTCATATCTGTAACAAAACCAACTTGACCCAATTGCTTAATCGGGCACCCCCCCCGGAAGATCATGAAAGTAGAGAGATGACACTCACAATTTCTCACGGAGCTGTGGGGTGTCCTTGGGGGTTCCAAGGGTATTGACAAGCCTATAAAATTATTTATTTTTTATTATTTGAAGAAGAAACAAGACATCACATCATTTACAGATTCTTTGGCTTTGATGTTGTAACTATTTATCCTTCACTGCAATGATCACATATAATGTAACATGCCAAGTGAAACATCTAGTGCAACCACTTCATTCCAGATTACAAGCATAAATTTGGCATTTCTCTGTTTAGTCTGTTTGGAGATATCAAATCAGCATTCGATTAAAAAAAATATAAACCATGCATCCCAGTAAGAATACTGATTAGAATAACTTACAATGTTTTAAGTGTAGCCAATTCACCAATGTAATCTGGGATTGGACCAGTAATTAGGCAATTTACTAAATATGATAAAAGTAATTACAAATGTAAATAAGTCCACACAACTCGGTTATGTTTTTCAGCTGGGATATGGTAGAAGGAATGGGGCCATCCATGGATGTGCCTTGCATGTGCCTGAAACAGATTATTTAACAATTATTTGAGATGTTCTTAGGTAAAATTAAAAAATTAAGAGAAAGCTTGTTAGAATTCCATAGGCAGGGAAAAGATTGCTAATGCATGGAACTACTAATGATACTCACAGTGTTTTAATTTTTGTCCAGTTCCCAATCAGATCAGGTATCTTCCCAGATAGTACACTCCCATCTATCCTACTGCAATTAGTTGAAGAAGTTTTAGATTTACTAAAATTCAAGACTAATAAATGTCAAAATAATTACCACTTACAAATCTGTCAAGTTCTTCAATTTGCTGAATGTGTCTGGAATTGTTCCAGTAAAATTGTTGGCAGAAAGAAAGCTGCAGAAAACTATCCATTATAAATTCCCTTGAAACAACATGAGAACGATAGCACCAGTAGTGGCAATGTTAACATCATTTTGTCGCACTCAACTCAACATACAAAGATACCCAAAAGACAATGTTCAATGCATGTAAGAGATGTTTGACACTGCAATCTCAGACAAAGACTACCATATATATTGGGACAATTATAAACATACATAAAATTCATACAAAAAACTTGATAAGAATGATATGGCAATGCCATTATTATAAATAAATCCATCTTCAATGGTGTTTTGTTTTGAAGTGAAAGGTCTACAATGAGTCACATCATTATATATGAATTTTTTGTTTGTATAGCATTACTCTATATATTGATAGACACAATGATTGAATGTTGGACAAGGCAAGAAATGCATCAACAATAATCACGATGCTTTTAAATTCAAAATAGCCATGCTCTCTTTCAATGTAGCTTAAAAAGATCACAAAATTTTTTATAATAAAAATAAAAAAATAAAAAAAAAGCCTTATGGAAACAGTACTGGGAAGTTAAAAAAGCAAGTTCTCATGGCACTTCTCATCCAATATTTGAAGGTCACAGCTGGACAGGATCATGCATACGAAACCCTTCCTGATCACACAGCTGTTTTTCAACACATTAATACTCTATCTCCAACCAGAAAAGCATTTTAGATAAGAAGCTTTGGCAATGATAGCACCACCATGTAATTCGGTATATTCAAGTGTATACTTTAGAAGAAAGTATTAAGTTTAAAACAAAAAGAAAGAACTTTCTTACAGCCTCCTCATGCAGCTCAAATTTCCAAGGTTTTGATGAAGAGGTCCTCCAAGCTGATTATCTTCCAAGACCCTGTATAAGATAGTTCACGTTAAAATCAAGGTCAGGCTTCATTTATTAGTCCAGTAGACAGAACAGTATCCATGACTTACAGCTCCTCAAGAGTAGCAATGTCTCTGATTTGATTTCCTTTGGAATTGAACCATTAATGCGGTTTCCTAAAAGGGACCTTGCCTTTTGTTTATGATCAAACTCCCTTTTGACAAGTAACAAAGCAATTACCCACTTCTTGAGTGCATAACTTAAATTAGTTAATAACGTTCTATAAAGCTTTATTGGATCTTGACAATTCTATTTTTGAAGAAGTTTCCACAACCATCTGTGTTTTCTTTTTTGTTTCAAAAATAAAATTAAAAAGAAAAATCTGCACCTGAATCTCAAATGAGAAAGGAAGCCCATTCGCAAAGTTTGAAGAATAGTCTATGGCTGAAGGAGAAGCACGACATTATTGAGCTGGTACTTTCTTGAAGACAGCTCGGTTGTATTGGACTATTTGACAATTTTATACAGGAATACAGGAATTATTATAGAGCTATTTGATTGGGTTTATATGTATATGTGCCATATTGGAAATTATCAGGAACAAGTTTGTCATCTTTTCACATTGGAATTGTTAAGGCAATATTATGCTTCAAATTTTCTTTCTGAGGCGTAAAAGAAAGCAATATAAATGCTTTGCCTTTTTCTGTTTTAGCAAATTTCTAAGATGAAAGATGTCCTGTTGTCTTCCATTCTTTAGTTAAAGGATATCATTAGAATAAGGTTAAAAAATTTCAGCAAAACTTGGAAGTTCCAAGCTTCCATTTTGTCTACCTTATACCACTGCCAGTGTAAGCCAAGTGGTTACCTGGTTTGGCCACTTAACCTTGATTTCTGGGGAAAGATGAAAAAATTGTCGGTGTTTGTCAGGTCATACACTAAGGTTTTTAGTATGTGGGTCATGTTTCTGGTTAAAAATTATGAAACAACAGTGTAATTTTTAAATTGTGTGCTCACCAAACTAAATGAAACTGTTGCCTTTTTTTTTCTTCACAAAATTAACATAAACTATCATTACATATAGCACCTTTCATCTGTATACAGTGGAATATAGTTCTACATTCTAAATTACTGCAACACTGCTGTCACAACTGTGTTTGTCTTTCAAGATTTCCCTGTGTGCTGTGTTTCACTTTCATTCTATATGATGGTTTGTGCATTTATGATTCCTATTGCCGGAAGATGATTCGTAATAGAACCCAATTTCTTTAGATTCAACAAATTTATATTTAAAAAAAAATGTGTTCAACCCAAGAACCTAATTTCACATTCAGGTTTTAATTTTTCCAATTCAGATTCAGATATTTTCCCCAACTCGCATTCAAGAAATTTAAAACCAAAAAAAAAAAAAAATAATTTCACAACCTGAAACACAATTCTAATTTTTTATTTGCTCAATCAAAACCCTAATTTTTCGCGTCTTTGGCCACGGTTTCTCTACCCTCTGATACCGATCCATCTAAACACAAAAAATCCAAAATCAGAAACACAACAAGAAAACAACAAAAGGGTACACAAAAATTAGATCTGAAGAAGGGAATAGGAAGAGGGGTAACCGTGATGAGTGTTGAGTGAGTTCGGAACGGGTAAAAGGTAATGGAAGTCTCTAAAAACCAGCTCTCGCCTTTTGCTAGTCTCCATGGCAGCTCTGGATCGATGAATTGAGTGAGAGAAGAGCCATGGCCGTTGTGGGTTGTAGAGAGAGAAATTAGAGGAGAGAGTGAGAGAGAGTGAGAATATGATTTAAGGGTTTGAAATGGAAGTGTGGTGGAGGAGTAGAGATTTAGGGTTTGAAATGGAAGAGTGTGGTGGAGTAGAGAGTAGTAGTAACTTCTGCAGATCACTGAGCTTTTAGCATTCGTGTAGAGAGAGACAACTACGCCAATTCGAAGATTATTTCATTTTACATTTGGCGCCAGAGTATTTTACTTTTGGTGCCTATTTTTATTTTGGTCATATTATTCACGACAGGAATTACATGTCGTAAAAAGTAAAATATTTTTAACAGTTAGTATATGTGCATCGTGAAAAGTATATTTTTTAATGATTGACTTTTTGTGTGCCGTAAAAAGTATAATATTTTTAACGATTGACTTTTTGTGCACCGTAAAATGTTTAATATTTTTAACAACTGGTACGCGTGTTGTATCAATCAGTTAAAAAAAATAATAACAAAATGAACAAACAATAAGAACAATGATAAATAATCTGCCAATTACACTGTGAATCTCCCTCGCACCACATTTTCCAAAACAAGTGTAAGTGTTGGTGCAGTGTCTGTGTAAATGCATATCTATATATATACATACAGCCTAATATATATAATCTAGGGTTTTAATAAATCGTGTCTCTGTGACGATATTTGTCGTATATTTGCAAATACCTGGTTTCAACATATTAGAGGAGGAACAACAAAAAAATTATTTTCATTGCAGAGACATGTATTCGGATTCAACACAACGAGTGAACATTTTTCAGCTGATAAAAGTCAATGGCAAGAGGAAATAGTGGAATGACAGAAGAGAATGTTACCTGGATAAAACAGAGAGAGAGAGAGAGAGAGACTGCGAGCTGTGCAATGGCGAACGGCTAGGGCTCGTTTGCCCTTTCGGCTGCTCCTCCGCCGCTCGCCATCGATCGAGAGAGGGGGGGTAAGAAGAGATTAGGGATTTTTGGGTTTGAGATTGGGGATTTATTGTTTGGGGGGGTGATGAGCACGAATGGGAAAAAAAAAGTGGGGAAGGGAACGGGAATGAAAAACAAAAACGGGCGGGAATAAAAAATAAATTTTTTTTTTGTCAGAAATGAAATTTAAATAATAAAATAATGTCATTTAATTTTTTATTTTTTTTTGGCGACGGGGTTGCCATTGTCAAAAAAATTTATTTTTGGTTAAAATATATATTTTTTGTAGTTAATGAATTTTTTTTTGTAGATGAGAGGGAGTGGCAGTAGTGGAGAAGGTAGTGGATAAGAGATGGTGGTGGTGGTGGTGATGGTGGCGGCGGCAAAGGAGATTAGTGGTGAAGTTGTGGTAGTGGTAGAGTAGATGAAGTGGCAAGGGTGAAAGAGAGGTAATGGTAGTAGTAGTGGCAGTAGTGGTGAAGGTGGTGGTGGCGGTGGTGGCGGCGGTGGCGAAGGAGATTAGTGGTGAAGTTGTGGTAGTGGTAGAGTAAATGAAGTGGCAAGGGTGAAGGAGAGGTAATGGTAGTAGTAGTGGCAGTAGTGGTGAAGGTGGTGGATAAGAGAAGATGGTGGCGGTGGCGGTGGCGGCGGCGGTGGCGAAGGAGATTAGTGGTGAAGTTGTGGTAGTGGTAGAGTAGATGAAGCGGCAAGGGTGAAGGAGAGGTAATGGTAGTAGTAGTGGTAGTAGTGGTAGTGGTGGCAATGGTAGTAGTAATGGTAGTCGTAGAGGTGAAGTGGCGACAGTGGTAGTAATGGTGGTAGTGGAATGACGTTTGCAGTAGTGGTGGAGGTGGTAAAGGAGAGGGGTGGTGAGAGAGAGAGAGAAATGAGTGAGAGACACATAGAGGAGAGAAAGAGAGAAAGAGAGAAAGAGAGAAAGAGAGAGAGAGAGAGAGAGAGAGAGAGAAAGAGAGAGACAAAGACAGAGTGATGAGCGAGAGAGAGACAAAGTGGTCGCTAAAAGTGCATTTTCTTGTAGTGGATAGATAAATCGAGAGGGAGCTCAGTAAATAGAGAAGACAGAAGGGAGAGAGTGAGCAACGCGAACATAGTGGCAGAGAGAGAGAAAGAGAAAGAGAAGAGAGTGAGAGGGACAAAAAGATAAAGAGATAGAGAGTGGGAGAGAGAAAAAGAGACAAAGAGAGAAGAGAGATGAACGAGAGAGAGAGAGATAGAGAGAAGAGAGATGAGTGAGAGAGAGATAGAGAGAAGAGAGATGATCGAGAGAGACGGAGAGAGATGAAAGAGATAGAGAGAAGAGAGATGAGCGAAAGAGACAGGGAGAGAAAAGAGATGAGAGAAGAGATAGATGAGTGAGAGACACAGAGAGAGAGAGAGAGACAGATAGACAGAAAGAAAAGAGTGATGAATGAGAGAGAGAAAGAGAAGAGAGAGAGGAAGATGAAAAAATGGGTGAAAAGATATAGACAAAGAGAGAGAGAGAGAGAGAGAAAAGAGATAAACGAGAGAGAAATGAGCGAGAGAGATAAAGAGAAGAGAGACAGAGAGAGAAGAGAGATGAGAGAGATAGACAGAAGAGAGATAGACGAGAGACACAGAGAGAAAGAGAGAGAGAGGAAGACAGACAGACAGACAGAGAAGAGTGATGAGTGAAAGAGAGAAAAATAAGAGAGACAGAGACACAGAGAGAAAGAGACAGACAGACAGACAGAGAAGAGTGATGAGTGAGAGAGAAAAAAATAAGAGACACAGAGACAGAGAGAAAGAGAGAGACAAACATACAGAGAAGAGTAATGAGTGACTGAGAGAGAGAGAGAGAGAGAGAGAAGAAAGACACAGACAGAGAGATAGGAAGATGAAAAAATGGGTGAAAAAGTTCTGTGTCTAAAGCCTTCTTTTCTAGTAGTTAGTCGTCTCTATCATTCATGGATAGAATAGAGGCGCGGATTTGGGAATTGTATATTTTATATAAAAATCAAATTGAAATATTTTATGCAATCACAACTATTTAGGGAGTGTGATTAAATATATATATAATTACACTTATTTAAAAAGTGTGACTAAAAAATAGTAATGTATATATAATCACACTTTAATTAAAATGTGTGATTAAAAAATATATATATAATCACACTTATTTAAAAAGTGTGATTAAAAAGTAGTAGTGTATATATAATCACACTTTAATTAGAAGGTGTGATTAAAAATTATATAAATAATCACACTTTAATTAGAATGTGTGTTTAAAAAATATATATATATAATCACACCTATTTAAAAAGTGTGATTAAAAAGTGGTAGTGTATATATAATCACACTTTAATTAGAAGGTGTGATTAAAAAATATATAAATAATCACACTTTAATTAGAATGTGTGATTAAAAAATATATATAATCACACTTGTTTAAAAAGTGTGATTAAAAAGTAGTAGTGTATATATAATCACACTTTAATTAGAAGGTGTGATTAAAAATATATATATAATCACACTTAATTGAAAAGTGACATAAAAAATAAATATTATCACACTCAATCAAATTAAGTGTGATTAAAATATCAATCTAATTTTTTTTATCACACTTCCATTAAAAGTGAGATCTTCTTTTTTGTCAAAGTGTGATCTTTAACTATTTTTGTAGTAGTGTCTTTATTGATGACATTTTGATATACTCGAAGAACAAAGTTGAACATGAACATCATTTGAGAACTGTCCTACAAATACTTAGGGAGAAGAAATTGTTTTCTAAACTAAAGAAATGCGAGTTTTGGTTGGATGAAGTTTTCTTTTTAGGTCATGTGATCAACAAGGAGGGAATTTCAGTGGACCCGCAGAAAATAGAGGCAATTGTGAATTGGCCTACACCGACAAATGTGACAGAAGTCCGCAACTTCATGGGCTTAGCCGGGTATTACAGGAGGTTTGTGAAAAACTTTTCGAAGATAACTGTACCTCTTACCCAGTTGACACGCAAAGGGCAATCATTTGAATGGAATGATGAAAGAGAAACTGCCTTCCATGAACTGAAAACAAGACTGACCACTGCACCAATTTTGACACTACCTTCAGGTACGGAGGATTTTGTAATTTTCAGTAATGCGTCTTATAAAGGTTTAGGTTGTGTGTTAATGTAGAACGGAAAGGTTATTGCTTACGCCTCTCGATAGTTGAGGCCACACGAGAAGAATTATCCAACACATGACCTAGAATTGGCTGCAGTTGTTTTTGGTTTGAAAATTTGGCGGCATTATCTATATGGAGCAAAGTGTGAAGTCTACACAAATCACAAAAGTTTGAAATACTTTTTCACACAGAAAGAGTTGAATATGCGGCAAAGGAGATGACTGGAATTGAAAAAAGATTATGATCTGGAGATTCAGTATCACCCCGAGAAAGCTAATACAGTTGCTGACGCCTTGAGTAGAAAATCAACGGGGAGTATGGATTGTTTGCTTACTGAACAGAAAGAGATCTTGCAAGATTTTGAAAGATCTGAAATTGAAGTGATAATGTGCGAACACGGCGGATTGATAGCCGCTATTACAGCCGAGCCGGCAATCATTGATGAAATCAAGCAGAAACAGAAAGAGGATGA